ATCTTCCAGGAGGCGTCAGTGTGCCTGTGTGATTGTGTGCACGAGCATCCAGGAGCACCGACCTGGAAGTTTAGGAGAGGTTATCAAAGTCACCGTTGGTTGCAATTGCCCCCAAGCTCTGCTCTTTGAGTATCCTGCCCTGATTATATCGCTGCATACCCTTCTCCAGACAGGGGCTGAGGAGTCTTTGGAGAACAAGAGGAGACCTTTATAAAGGGAGCCCAGAGACCAGGTACAACTAGACAGTGGCAACCATGCCAACAAAAGGAGAACCAGACTCTGGAAGGAGCTTCTTACTAACCTGACTGAGTAAGACTTCCAGTAAGAGATACATTTCACAAAGAACCAAGTACACATGAGCACTGACCCATCAAAGGTATTACAAATCAAATTGTCTTAAACAAATCTGACTCTGATATCTCATTCTATTCTATTCTATTCTATTCTATTCTATTCTATTCTATTCTATTCTATTCTATTCTATTCTATTCCATTCTTTGAAAGCTCTTTCTTTCATCTGTTTTTCTTTTTAATGCTGGTCATAACCCACTAAATTAATTTCATGGGCCAAGGCACACAGAATGAAGAACGTAGATGAGTGGATTCTCATGCAAAGTTATACTTCATTCCATGCCCCATTAACCTGATCCCCAGACAAAGGTACTTACAGTGAAGTAGAACCTGGCTTTAGCACTGATATAGAGTATGGGACATAGGAGAAGTCCATGAGCCCAGAAACCAATGTGGACCAAATCCCAAGCTTTTTCCCTGTTTGATCATTCTCAGAAAAGGCTGAGGGAAAAATCAGTATGATCTATTGCAGAATAGCACAATACATTTCGAGGTCAACAGTGTACGTGCTGGACAGGGAATTTTCTGAAGATGGACAGAACTTGACCCTCTGCCCTTAGCCCAACACACACACACACACACACACACACACACACACACACACACACACACACAAGAACACACACTCATTAAAGTCATCTACAAAGGAAAGGTTTAGTGCCCTGTCATAAGAACAGGACTCTCCACTGCAGATAAACATTTTAATTTAGAGGAATTAAAAGGTCAGTTAGAAACCTAACTTGTAAGCTCCCAGACCCAGCTCCATATTCCTTGGGTGATCTAGCCTGGCCAACTGACTGATGGACAATTCCAGGCCATCCCAGACATTGCCTGAAGCCAATCCTGATCTCAGGAAGCTGTCTACACATTGAATGTCAAGAGATTCCAACTTAGTCTCTGAGGAATATAGCCTGGCATATCCCATCTTCAATGTCCAAATTCATCCCTATCGGAAAACTCCTAATAAAAGGGGATCTGCATGAGGGAAGCACGGCCTCCCACACTTGCGCGTGGGTAGGGTTTGGAGCTGCAGAGGGATTGTAGACTGTTGTACTCAGAACCGGATAGATGTCAGAAGGGAGACCTGCTGTGAATTCTTCCCTGAAATGAAGCAAAGCTTTCACAGGCCCAGAGCTTTCATGTGCTGCCTGTCGGGAATTCACCTCCTACTGTCTTCATAGTAGCCTAGTTTTCAGCCAAGCTGCCCTCTGACCAGCCCTCTTACTTGAAAGTAGAATGTCTACGATCAGAAGTCAAGGGAACTCCTGCTACTTTGCCCTTCCCTAGGGAAGTGGCCCCAGCCCTTCCAGACAGAAGCAGTTCCCTCTAGGATTATCCAAACCTTCATTCCAGCCCCAGGTGGCTCAGAAAGGATGACTTGAGGGAAGGAAGTTGTAGAAAGAGCAGAGAAATACCTGGATACGAGGAGCTGGAAAGCGGCAGGCTGAGAGTCAGGAGCTACTACCTTCCTGGCCCTGGCTGGTGGGTGGGTCAGCTCTCACCGCTGCCCTGTTTTTGTACCGAAGTCCTCCCCTCCCACCACACCCACAGCGCAGGGGGAGGGTTTGATGGGGCACACTCCCATTTCTTTCCTGGAAATGACTGATTTCCAGAAGTAGAAAGGGTTTCACTTTCTCATCCCCAGAAGCACCGGGATCCAAACGGCACAGGAGGCGGAGCAACACTGGCCTTTGCCACATGGGCAGGGAGGGCATCCTCAGGGTTCCTGCTGCCCAAGCAGAGGCCAACTGGGTGCCACAGAGGCCCATAAGGGGCCCTGCCTGCCCACTCACCCCAGAGCCTGTGACCTCCTGCTTTGGTGCCGAGTCCTGTGGGACTGTGGACCTGCAACCCCTGGTGAAGCCTGGAGCCGCAGGGAAGTGCAGACGCATTGAGCGGTCATCTCCCTGGTTGCCTTGCTCCTGCCCGGGTCTAGTATTCTCACCACCTCACCCCACCCCAGTTCCTCCCTGGGCTGTGGCATGTGCCCTTCAGCAGGGTGCTCCTCTGCCTTGTCGTCCTCCCTCCATCCACAGGGCCCCACCGAGGCAGC